AGAATGATGAAGGTGAAGGCAGAGGTGACACCAACACAAAGGTGTATATATGGTTTCCTGTGGGGGTTATGTATGGAGGCAGCAGTGAGTGAGACTGCAAACATTAGAAGGGCCCAGGTCACTGAGAGCCTAGTATCCTCGTAAAGTGGCCTCTCTCCCTCCCTCTCCAGCTTGTCATTGAAAACCAGTCCACCAAGCTTGTTGGTTCGCACAGCAAGAGTACATAGAGTTTGAGTACTAATACATAAGATTTTAAGAGGGAGACCCTGTCCCAAAAACAACAACAACAAAAATCAACCACCATTACAATTTTACGTTCCCTCAGCATTTTCAGAGCTGAGGAATGGGAGAGGACCATGGGAACCCCCATGATGTTCTGGCCTTCAGCTATGGTCCTTGATACATGCACTCATCTGCCTTACAATGTCATCCCCCAGGAGGGCCCAGAAGAAAACAGTGCCTATGAGCAGTTGCTGTCTCACTTGGAAGAAATCGCTGAGGAAGGTCAGTTTGTTGGTCTGGCCACTAATCTCTGTGGCCTAGTTCATAAAGAATCACCCTTGGGAGCTTCAGGTCTGAGGCTGGAGATGGGCTCTCTCCAGTGCAGGAGGGATTGAAGCATGAGCCAGTGCTCATCTTGATAATAACCATGAAGCTGACAGACGCAGTTACCTGCAAACGGCTGCCTACAGATTGAAAACCAAGCAAAAACCGCCAGGTGCAGTGGCTTACGCCTGTAACCCCAGCACGTTGGGAGGCCGAGGTGGGTGGATCACGAGGTCAAGAGATCGAGACCATACCGGCCAACATGGTGAAACCCCATCTCTACTAAAAATACAAAAAAATAGCTGGGCATGGTGGGTGCCTGTAGTCCCAGCTACTCAGGAGGCTGAGGCAGAAGAATGGCATGAACCCGGGAGGCAGAAGTTGCAGTGAGCCAAGATCGCGCCACTGCACTCCAGCCTGGGTGACAGAGCGAGACTCTGTCTAAAAAAATGAGACAAAAAACCCACAAAAAACAAAAAAAAACAAGACCAAAAAATGGTGTTTGGAATTGTCAAGGTCAAGTCTGGAGAGCTAAACTTTTTCTGAGGACTGTTTATCTTTAATAAGCATCAAATGTTTTAACTTTGTAAATACTTTTGTTGGAAATCTTTCCCTTCTTAGTCACTCTTGGGCCATTTTAAATCTCACTCTACTAGACTTTTAGGTTTCTGCTAGACTAGGTAGAACTCTGCCTTTGCATTTCTTGTGTCTGTTTTGTATCAATATTCATATTTATTTACAAGTTATTCAGATCATTTTTTATTTTATTTTATTTTTTATTTTTTTGTATTTTTAGTAGGGACAGAGTTTCACCATATTGGCTAGGCTGGTCTCAAACTCCTGACCTTGTGATCCACACGCCTCGGCCTCTCAAAGTGCTGGGATTCATTTTTTTATTTTTAATTTGCTCTGGGCTTAAACTTGTGACCCAGCACTTTATGATGGTACACAGAGTTAAGAGTGTAGACTCAGATGGTCTTTCTTCTTTCCTTCTCTTCCTTCCTCCCTTCCCTCCTGCGTTCCCTTCTCTCCTTCCTTTCTTTCTCCCTCTCTCGCTCCCTCAGGCCTCTTCCAGTTGCCCCAATGCCCAGTACTTTTTTTGAGTTATGTCTTATGGGAAGGGCCTGCACTTAGTGAAGAAGTGGTCTCAGAGAGTTGAGTTACCTTGGCTTCTGGGAGGTGAAACTGTATGTCTATACCCTGAAGCTTTAAGGGAGTGCAGTGTAGGTGAGACCCCAACATAGATCCTCTTCACAGGCTCAGAGACTCAGGTCCCAGGACTGGACGTATCTGCACTCCTGCCCTCTGACCTCAGCCGCTACTTCCGATATGAGGGGTCTCTGACTACACCGCCCTGTGCCCAGGGTGTCATCTGGACTGTGTTTAACCAGACAGTGATGCTGAGTGCTAAGCAGGTGGGCCTGGGGTGTGTGTGTGGACACAGTGGGTGTGGGGGAAGGAGGATGTAAGATGAGAAAGAGGAGAAGAAAGAAATCAAGGCTGGGCTCTGTGGCTCTCGCCTATAATCCCAGCACGTTGGGAGGCTGAGGTGGGAGAATGGTTTGAGCCCAGGAGTTCAAGACAAGGCAGGGAAACATAGTGTGACCCCATCTCTACCAAAAAAACCCCAACAAAACCAAAATTAGCGGGGCATGGTGGTGTGCGCCTAGTCCCAGCTACTCAGGAGGCTGAGGTTGGAAGATCGCTTGAGTCCAGGAGTTTGAGGCTGCAGTGAGCTATGTGATCCCACCGCTGCCTACCATCTTTAGGATACATTAATTTATTTATAAAAGATACCAAGGGGCCGGGTGGGGAATACAGGAGATGGAGGATGGAGCCCTGAGGTGCTGGTTGTGAGCTGGCCTGGGACCCTTGTTTCCTGTCATGCCATGAACCCACCCACACTGTCTACTGACCTCCCTAGCTCCACGCCCTCTCTGACGCCCTGTGGGGACCTGGTGACTCTCGGCTACAGCTGAACTTCCGAGTGACGCAGCCTTTGAATGGGCGAGTGATTGAGGCCTCCTTCCCTGCTGGAGTGGACAGCAGTCCTCGGGCTGCTGAGCCAGGTACAGCTTTGTCTGGCGTCCCCCCAGCCGGGGGTCCCTTATCCTCCCATGTGTGTGCCAGTGTCTGTCATTGGTTGTCACAGCCCGCCTCTCACATCTCCCTTTTTCTCTCCAGTCCAGCTGAATTCCTGCCTGGCTGCTGGTGAGTCTGTGCCCCTCCTCTTGGTCCTGATGCCAGGAGACTCCTCAGCACCATTCAGCCTCAGGGCTGCTCAGGACCGCATCTGCTCCCTCTCCTTTTCTGCAGAACAGACCCCAATCCCAATATTAGAGGCAGATCATGATGGGGATTTCCCCATTGTCCCCAGGGCCTAATTGATTAGAATGAAGCTTGAGAAATCTCCTAGCATCCCTCTCCCCAACCCCCGCCCCCCTTTTTTTAAAGACAGGGTCTCACTCTTGTCCAGGCTGGGGTGTTGTGGCACGATCATAGCTCACTGCAGCCTCGAACTCCTAGGGTCAGGCAATCCTTTCACCTAAGCCTCTCAAAACACTGGGACTGGCCGGGCGCGGTGGCTCACGCCTGTAATCCCAGCGCTTTGGGAGGCCGAGGCGGGCGGATCACAAGGTCAGGAGATCGAGACCACGGTGAAACCCCGTCTCTACTAAAAATACAAAAAATTAGCCGGGCGCAGTTGTGGGCGCCTGTAGTCCCAGCTACTCGGGAGGCTGAGGCAGGAGAATGGCGTGAAACTGGGAGGCGGAGCTTGCAGTGAGCCGAGATCGCGCCACTGCACTCCAGCCTGGGCGACAGAGCGAGACTCCGTCTCAAAAAAAAAAAAAAAAAAAAAAAAAAAACCACTGGGACTGTAGGCATGAGCCACTGTGCCTGGCCCCAAACAGCCCTTTTACTTGGCTTTTAGGAAGGAAAAACGGTGCTTATCTTGCCCCTTCTTGTGTATCCACCCTCATCCCTTGGCTGGCCTCTTCTGGAGACTGAGGCACTGGGGGCTGCCTGAGAACTTGGGGCAGGGGTGGTGGAGTGCACTGAGGCAGGTGTTGAGGAACTCTGCAGACCCCTCTTCCTTCCCAAAGCAGCCCTCTCTGCTCTCCATTCCAGGTGACATCCTAGCCCTGGTTTTTGGCCTCCTTTTTGCTGTCACCAGCGTCGCCTTCCTTGTGCAGATGAGAAGGCAACACAGGTATTACACTGACCCTTTCCTCAGGCACACCCTTCCCCAACCCTGTGTGGAGTCGCTTCATAAAAAGTGCATGCAAATGAGCTGCTCTGGGGCCCGTTTTCTGATTAGTCTTCCCTGTTGTGTACACACAGAAGGGGAACCAAAGGGGGTGTGAGCTACCACCCAGCAGAGGTAGCCGAGACTGGAGCCTAGAGGCTGATCTTCGAGAATGTGAGAAGCCAGCCAGAGGCATCTGAGGGGGAGCCGGTAACTGTCCTGTCCTGCTCATTATGCCACTACTTCCTTTTAACTGCCAAGTAATTTTTTAAAGTAAATATTTATAATAAAATATGTGTTCGTCACCTTTTTTCCCCAAATCAGAAGGATGGTATTTGAATTTCCTATTATTATTAGCACGAACTTAGTGGTAATGCATTTATTATCTTACAGTTCGGAGGTCAGCAGTCAGATGTCAGTAGGGCTTGCTCGTCCTGGATGCTCTAAAAGTAGAATGTTTCCTTGCCCTTTTCAGATTCTAGGAACCACCTGCATTCCTTGGCTCCCAGCCACTTCCACACATCACTCCAATCTCTTGCTCCCATTGTCACAACTCCTACCTCTACACTTGACCTCCTTGTCTCCTTAAGAACCCTTGGGATTACACTGGGCCTATCTAGATAATCAAGGATAATCACCCCATCTCAAAATCTTAATCACCAAGTTTCTTCCCATGTAAGGTAAGAACAATGCACAGGATTAGAACATGGACATTTTGGAGAAGGGGAATATTCTGCCTACCACAGATGCTATCAGGAAGAGGACAGAAATGACTGATACTGTTGGGATGGCTGTGTGTATGTGTGTGTGCAGTGTATGTGTTGAGGGGTAGGGCAGACAGCAGCCCAAGGCTTAACATCACACTCAGGCTTTTGGGTTTTCACCTTGCTCAAAGAAAATGTGTCACCTCTTGCAGTTTTTGCTTCAGGATGTGCTGTCTGGCCCAGCTGGCTGCTGGAACAGGGCGGTGCTATGGATGGCAGCTCCTCAGGCTGTAGGGCACAAGGCCTACGATGTCCCCCAGTTTTGTCAGACTTCCTGCTTCACACAGCCTGTTCACAGCCCCTCCTCAATGAGCCCAGGCCCCCCATCCCAGTTTCCCCTGAAAAGGAAGTCCTAATGCAGAGCAAGGACCCAGGCCCTGCTCATTCAGGGGTCCTTCAAACTCCATTGCCAACACCAAAGAAAGGCTTAAAGGGCCTTGAGAAGCTGGTAACATCAGTTTTATTGGGTTGGGGCAGCAGCCACAGCCTGGCTGTGGGTGGGGCGGGCCCTCACAGGTTGTTGAGTTCCAGCAGCGTCTGGTCCAAGGTCTGGTGAATCTCGACGTTCTCCTCCTTGGCACTGGCCAAGGTCTCTGTGAGGGGAAGCAGCAGGTGAGGGAGGAGGGAGACACAAGGGGGAGACGTAGGGGGGCAGGGCCAGGGGAAGGTGACCTATAAACATTGAGTGGGTCAGGAGACACAGGAAGACACATGCATTCAGGGACCTCAGGGCCCCATGGCAGGGACAAATGGATGGACTGACCAGGATGAGGGCAACAAGACGGACATGGATGCCTCACTCAAGGCCTTAGGGTCATGGAGGTGGGGTGGGGAGGCCTCAGTCATAAACTACTTTATCCTCCTCTTTAGAAGGTTTAAGAAAGTTGGAGACAGAAGGTAAGACAAAGACTGCGCCAGGAAAGGAAGGGCCAGACAGACTTGAGGTAGAAAACAGACCTGCCGCTGCAGTGAAAGCCCCATGTTGCAGGTATCCAACATTTTTTCCAAGCTCCATTCCAGACCTTTTGCAACCTTCTTGCCCCTGTCCTGCACCTCACCACCCTACTTCCTTTCCAGTCACTCTGTTTGATCCTGGAACCCCAGCTAAGTGCTCTGAGGTCAGTGATTGGCACCAGAGGGGGTCATGGTTTGACGGGGCTACACGTGTCCACATGCAGCGGTGAGTCAGAGAGCGACAGCCAGGGAGTGCCTGTGCAGAGGGGTTTCAGCGTGGGCCATGGTGTTTTGTGGGTGGGCTCAGTGCAGGGGCTGCGGGTGTCAGTAAGAGTCAGGGTGTCAGGAGTGAACCAGTGCTCCGTGGTGGCGATAGAGGTGCTCTCTGGAGGGCAGGAAAACAGCATGGAGACCAAGTTCAGAGTTTATTAAGCAGCAAAGGGGGGTGGAGGGGACAGGTAAAGGATGAAGCCAGTGCCAGAGTGGGTGGTGGGCATGATAGGGGCTCTCCCTAGGCTGCTCCCAGCCTGGCTGTGCAATGTTGGCAATTTCTGCTCCTCCTGCCTGCTCCCCTCCCCATAGAGAGAATAGAAAGGAGAGGAGAGAAGAGGGCTGAGGTGGCCACGCTGGCGTGGGGCTCAGAGGGAGGTGATGTCATTGAGTGCGTTGTCCAGTTCCTCGCTAATGGCCTTGTACTTCATCTTCTGGGCATAGACTTCATCTGGGGGGGTCCAGGGAGGCAAACAGGTGGGAGTGTGGGAAAGGGAGTGGAGGGAAAGAGGAAGGAGAGAGGGCAATGGAAAGAAAAACAGAATCAGAGGTGCACAAAGACAGAGTGAAAGAGGGAGGCCAGGGAACAGGTTGGACGGCTGTCGGGAACTCCTTCTCCCCATCTCTACCCCATCTCTTTTCTGTCCTTCTCTGGACCCCAAATTGGCTCTACCCACAGAAGCTCCTGTCTCCCCAGGGAGCTGTGGGCACAGTGCTCTCCACAAGCAGAAGTGCTTGCTTTGCAGGAGAGGGAGGGTGCTGGAGCCAGAAAGCGCAAACCTCCTAAAGCCGGAGGTAAAACTGCAGCTGCCTGAGAAGGCTGGAAGCGAGAGAAGTGGGAAAGTGAAAGGGTTATCACAGAATAAAAAGGAAAGGCAACTTGAGCCACAACACCGTTAACAATAGAAATAGCCACAGACTCACAAATATCTGGATGTTTGCTTTTGCCAAATCTAGCTTAAAACAGTGTTTTCTATGAGTGTTGTCATGCAGACCTAGATGTTCAGTCCAATAGCTCTCTAGTTAATAAGCCAGTCTCTGAGCTAGAACTCTACTGCGTTACACTCGGGGACGCAATTGTCTATATGGGTGCCACTCAGAGTGTGGCATGAGAACCAGCAGCATCGGCAGTACCAGAGAACTAGCTAGAAATGTAAATCCTCCGGCCCAAAGTCAGCAATCTCTTTGGGGCAGAGCCAAGAAATCTGTTTTTAAAAATCTCCCAGTGATTCCCATGCATGCTGAAGTTTGAGAAGCACTGGAGTTGTTGTGCCGTGGGCAGCTACAATTACTTGAATTGTAGACGTGGCCCGCAGAGCTGGGGAGTTGGTAGGGTCCTACGTGGTCCAATCCTAGTTTACTGGTAGCAAATAAAATGGGATGAGAAGGTATGGGACAGACTGATAATCACGGCAGGTGTGGACCTACTTATAAAGGCTTCTTTTACCTTCTAGGTCATCAATGGTTTTCTCCAACTTTGCCACAGACCTCTCAGCAAACTCTGCTCGGGTCTCAGCCTGGGGGTAAAGGCAGGGTGGGAGAAATGGCAAAGAATTAGGCCCTCCCACAGACTACTGCCTAAGTCAAGCTTCTTGCCCATCCCAACCCTCAAGTGTCCTGCCACAGGCTGTCTCTGGCAAGGACTAGGGTGGCTTGAGGGGAGACTGGGAACTGGAAGAGGACTCTCACCTCCTTCAGCTTCTCCTCCAACAGTTTGATCTCCTCTTCATATTTATCTTCTTTGGTGGAATACTTTTGGGGACACACACAGGCCATCAGTACAGCACCACCACAGATCCTTCATTTCTCCATTGTACCCCGTAGGCTCCTGGCCATCTTGCCTCTGTTGAACACCCAGCCCCTCCCTGCCTTGGGCCTCTCACCTCCCTCCCCTGTGGGACCCCATCCTCACTGCCCCTCTGCTCCCGTCTACCTTGTCCGCCTGGGCCTCCAGGGATTTCAAGTTGTTGGTAACAATTTTCAGCTCCTCCTCTAGGTCCCCACATTTACTGCAGGGGGTGTGTGGCGGGGGGGGCGGGGTGTGAGGGCACAGCGAAGCCAGACAGTGGAGATGGCACAGCGGGGGATGGGTGGAGGAGAGAAGAGAAGAGCAAAGTTGTGAGAGTGATAGCAGGCAGGGCTCAGAAGCCCCAGGCCCTTCCTGATCCCCAGCAGCTGAGAAAGAGCAGTCTGCAGTGCTGAGACGGAGGGAAGGTGAGCTGAGAGAAGGCGCCATTGCCCAGAAAGGTTCAGAGGGGTCGCTACCTCCTCCTCTGAGGCCATCAGGGACTTGAGGGCCTGGTCCATGGTTCGAAGTTCCTCCTCCAGCTGTCTGGCTCGGCTGGGGGCAGCGGGCAGGGGTCAGAGAACAGGGCCTGTCCCTATAGCCCCAAGCCTAGGACGCTACCTCCCCACTATGTGGAAGGCCCCAGGGCCAATGGGCCCACTTGCCACCCCAGGGTATCTTTACCTCTCAGCCACCTCAGCTCTCTCCTCCGAGCGCTCCAGCTCTCCTTCCAGGATCACCAGCTTCCTGGCCACCTGAGTGAAGTGAGAAAGAGAGGGTAGATCAGTGGAGAAGGACTGGGCATGTTGCAGGCTGGGCAGCGAGCAGGCAGAGGGGCAAGGCTGTCACCTCTTCGTATTTGCGGTCTGAATCCTCAGCGATGTGCTTGGCCTCCTTCAGCTGCATCTCCTGCAGCTCCATCTTCTCCTCGTCCTTCATGGCCCGGTTTTCAATGACCTTCATTCCTCTGAAAGACAGGGAGAGGGTGAGCGTGGGGTCAGGATTAGCAGAGACAGGCTCCCTCCTCCTTCCCGGACCATCCTCTCCAAGGCCCCAACCACCTCTCGCTCTCATCAGCCGCCTTCTCGGCCTCCTCCAGCTTCTGCAGGGCTGTAGCCAGGCGCTCCTGGGCCCGGTCCAGCTCCTCCTCAACCAGCTGAATGCGGCGGTTCAGAGAGGCCACATCTGCCTCAGCCTGTGGGTCAGAGGTCAGGTGTCAAAAAAGCCTCGTTAGCCTTGGATAAGGATCAGAGAGGCTCCAGAGGATGGCAAGATTCTTCTCAGAAAGAACTGAGGCTTCCTGGTTTCTAGACATTCTATGTAATTTTTTCCCAACCAGTCATCTTCTCCCCAGACTGTGCTCCAGTAAAAATGTGCATTCGGCCGGGTGCGGTGGCTCACGCCTGTAATCCCAGCACTTTGGGAGGCCGGGACGGGTGGATCACGAGGTCCGGAGATCGAGACCAGCCTGGCTAACACGGTGAAACCCCGTCTCTACTAAAAAAATACAAAAAACTAGCCGGGCGAAGTGGCGGGCGCCTGTAGTCCCAGCTACTCGGGAGGCTGAGGCAGGAGAATGGTGTAAACCCGGGAGGCGGGGCTTGCAGTGAGCTGAAATCTGGCCACTGCACTCCAGCCTGGGCAACAGAGCGAGACTCCGTCTCAAAAAAAAAAAAAAAAAAAAAAGCGCATTCAGGCCGGGCATGGTGGCTCACGCCTGTAATCCCCGCACTCTGGGAGGCCAAGGCGGGTGGATCACCTGAGGTCAGGAGTTTGAGAGCCACCTGGCCAACATTGTGAAACCCTGTCTCTATTAAAAATAAAAAATTAGCCAGGCATGGTGGTGGGCACCTGTAATTCCAGCTACTTGGGAGGCTGAGGCACAAGAATCACTTGAATCCAGGAGGCGGAAGAGTTGCAGTGAGCTGAGGTCGTGCCACTGCACTCCAGCCTGGGTAAAAAGAACGAAACTCCGTCTCAAAAAAACATGCATTCCTTGCTTGACGAGCTCTGCTCCCCTGCTGCAGGGCCTCTCCTGCACCGTGCACAGTTAGTTTCCCAAAGGTCACCTGCACACGAGTCCTCCTGTTCCCTGTGAGAGCACTTCAAGTGCTGGGGCCAGGTCTGATGCAGCTCTGATTCCTACACAGCAAAGCCTGGCCCAGGTAAGGGGATGGGGAAAGAATCAGGCCAACCAGACGTCACTGCTGCTAAGAATAGCCCGTCACAGAATCAAGCTCAGTGATGCTGGGCATGGTGGTGCACGCCTGTCATCCCAGCTACTCTGGAGCCTAAGGCGGGAGTTCAGCTTGACCCTAGGAGCCCAGCCTGGGCAACATAGCAAGATCCCATCTCAAAAAAAAAAAAAAAAAAGAATCAAGCTCAGTGATGTAATCTGTTATCAGCTGCAAGGCAGACTCCCAGCAAGAAGCCCAAGAGCAGGCCTATAAGGGACACCCATGGCTGTAGCAAGGGGCTCCCTGCCAAGGCCAGCAGAGAGCTGGGGGCAATGCAGGGGCAGTGTGAGAGATGTCTACTCAGCCCCTGGGCTTGCAGTAGGAGGCAAAACCATGGAGGTTTTGGAAAAAAATCATAAAAACTGCTCAAACACTGAGAAAAAGGGCAGAGCAAGGCAAGTGCCAATAAAGGAAAATGAGAGGAGCAGCGCAGCCTGGTGTTAAGAGCATCAGCTCTGAGTCAGACTTGTCTTTGAGCCACAGCTCAGCCACTCAACACTTGTGTAACTGTGGGCAACTTATTTAGCCTCTCTAAGCCTCAGTTTCCTCCTTCACAAGTTGGAGTTAACAATAACAGTTCCTTCTTCTTAAGGCTGTTCTGAGATAATCCAGTATTTCTGATACTCAATTAATCAACAGGACCCCCAGTGAGGTCCATCAAACTAAACAGGTTCTCTTACTCCATGCTACATTCACTGAATTGGGATGTGTAGGGTGGGGGCTTGGGAATCTTCTCTTTTTTTTAAAGCCCCCTAGTGATTTTGATGATATACCAAGTTTGGGAAATCGTAAAATAACATGCAGAAAGCACTGAATACATTGCCTGCACAGGGTCCATATTCCATAAATATTAGATTATCCCCTTTCTCTGTCACAAACAAGGACACAGAGACCCTGAGATTCCAGAGTGGAGAGGAGAGAGGACCTGTGTAGGGGAAGGAGGTGGAGGGAGGGGCTGGGAGCAGCACTTGGACACAGCATAGGAAGCAGGTCCTTGGTAGGACTGTAGGGCAGGAGAAACAGCACCATATATAGAGAGTAGATGGTAGCTTGTCTTCCAGGTGCTGAAGGCACCTGGAGCTTGGCCACCTAGAGTGACAAGGGCCCATCATGGGCACAGGGCCGGATGACTCAGTGTGGAAGGATTCTGGGGACAGCATTGGGGGTTGGGAAGAATCACTGTGGGGAACATTGGAGGACTACCCTAGAGAGAGGTGAGACTGTAAAAGAAAAACTCTTCATGATGGTGGAGTGACAAAAGACTGGAAAGTTTGGGAAGGTCCTGAAGTCCTCATCATGGGACTGATATGTGCCATTTCCTGCCCCTCAAGCTCTTCCCAGTTACAGGGGCTGCTCTCTAGCCACAGGACAGGCACTACTGTCCCCATTAGAAAAATGGGAAGCAAGAGAGAGGGAGAAACTGAGGCACCATGTAAGTTGAGTGCTGTGTTCAAGGTCACCAATAAGCTTGGGCAGTCTTTCCTATCTGCTTCTGGTGCCGTGGCTCTGCCTCCCCACCTCTGTCCCTGTCCCCCCCGCCCCTCCAGCCCCAACCAGCTCCTTGGGTTTCCAATCCTGCCTCCAGCTGCACTGGGCCTTGGTTATTTATAGAGTGTCAGATGCCCAGGGTCGTCTGTGCTAGCAGCTGCAGGTCAGCTCCCTCCCAAGTGCCAGGACTGGTGGAGAACCAAAACTGGAGGCTGGAGGTCACAGAAGCCCAACCCTGGGGGGCTGGGAACATGAGCAGTCGACACAAACAGCAATGTCATCTCTGATGTTCAGACCATGCTTTATGCTAATCTAACCATAGGTTCATCTTAAAACAATCCTGGGTGGAAGGAAGATGGGGAAACTGAGGCAGAAAATGGGGAAACTACCATGTCCAAAGCCATATGGCCATTCTCCTACCTTAAGGAGGGGGTTGGGAATGGCAGGAAGTGAAGTCTGGTTGGGGTTGTGGGTGGGCAGAGAAATCTCAGGGTAAATAACCTGTCCAGGTAGCTGCTTTGGCATCTGTGGCCCTGTCCCTCTGCCCTGTGGCCTGGCGTGGTCTCCAGGCTGACAGCTTAATGAGGGTAAATGAGGAGCCATTAGAAACTGAGCCGCTGGGGCCCCAGGGCACAGCAGGGCTGTAGAAGCCAGAGGTCAAGGCCAGGGAATTTCTAATGGCCCCTTAGGGTTGTAACTCAAGTGAGGCCTCATCTCTGGATCCCTCTCCCTCCTCCTGCCTGCTAGTACCTCACACCCACATCCCCCCACCCCCAAATGGCTGCAGTCTCCTCTCCAATTTCAGCTGGAGGATTAATTGAGGTAGATGGTAAATTCTTATACCTTCCACCCCCACAATGACTCACTGCTTGATCACTGTACATTCTAAAAGCTGGAACCAAACAGAATTACAGGGCTAAGTCCTCTGGGGGGAGTGGTAGGTGGTTTTGATTTATCCACTGTCTTGGATTACTTGTGTAAGGTTACCCTAACCCTGGTTACTGAGATGAAACCATTTATTTCCTGGTGCTGGGGACACAAGGGGATAAGGTGCCCCTAATCCCCTTATTCCCATACCTGGGGGGCCCCTCCCTAGTGCCCTAACTCCTCCCATTGTCCCCCAAGTCCACACTCACATCAGTGGCCTTCTTCTCGGCCTGCTCCAGTTTCTCCTGGGCCTCCTTCACGGATTCAGAATACTTTTCCACCTCATCCTCTGTCCCCTTCAGCTTCTTCTGGAGGGCCTGCTGCTCCTCCTCCAGCTGGGACAGAGGGGACTTGGTCAGCCAGGCTGGGAGGGGGCCCAGGCCCAGAATGGAGACACGGTGCGTGTAGGGGCCCTACTAAGATTTGGAGGCTACTGAGATGGAAGCGAATAACAGAAGAGGGATAGTCCAGTCAAGGGTGCTGGTGGGACTTGTTGTACAGAGAAAAAACTTCAAGCTCCAAGGAGCAGGACCAACCACGCTCAGCAAGGGCAGGAGTGGAAATCAGGGTCCTGAGGCTTCCCCAGGCTATGGGTAGGGGAGATAAGCGGCTCTGGCGGAAGGCCCTGAGGGTAATGTGAAGGCCCAGCCCGCACACTGGGTGGGAGAGAGCCCTGGTGGGCAGGCCCAGGGCTGGGGGACCCATGGCAGCAGCCCACCCCTGCCCTTGGCGCGGGGGAGAGCAGGCTGCATTGGGCCCGGCCCTAACCTGCTTGCAGCGGTCCTCAGCTTGTTTCTTGTCGGCTTCGGCCTGCTCGGCGCGGTCGATGGCGTTCTCCTTGTCCAGCTTCAGCATCTGCATCTTCTTCTTGATGGCGTCCATGGCTGCGGTGGGGGGTGGGCAGGCCGGCAGGCGGTGAGGACTGGACGGACTGGGCTGGCTGAGCGGACTGGGTACACGGGTGGCAGGCAAGGAGGACCAAGCGGAGCTGGGACGTCCCGGCCGCGCGGGCGCCTAAAAGGCAGGGAGGGACCGGGCGGGGCCGGCAACCAGGACCCTCCCCCACCTCGGCCCAAACCTTGTAGGGGCAGAAGCACGGCCCGGCCGGGGGGCGCGCCCGCCCCCTTCGCCCACCCACTGGGGACCGCCTCCCTTGGGGTCCCGCCCCCATTCCCCTCTTCCCCGCCAGCCGTCGGAGGAAAAAGTAGCAGAAGGTCGGCTGGAAAAACTCCGGCGCTGCGGAGGGGAGGGGACCTTTGGGCTGGGGGCTCCGTGCTTCCTCTGAGTGACAGCCGGACCCAGTGGCAGCTGCGGCTGGGGCCCCTGGGGCTATTTCGGGGCGTGAGCTCACGGCAGCTGCCCAGGCGCAGCGACCGGCGTGCCCCCCCTCAGCTGCAGCAGCCGCTACCCTTAATTTAGAAGTTTCCTGCAAATCCCCCTGGATTAAATGTCTCTTGGGAGGCGGAGCTCCTCGGCAATTTGAGTGCCTCAGTTTACCCAGAGTCCCTCTAAGTTTGCGTTATCGACGTGGTGGTAGTAGCGGAGTCTCATCGGGGGCTTGGGGAAACTGAGGCAGGAGGCGAGCCCAGAGCCCCGGTCGCGGTGCGGAGTGTGGCCGGGCTTGCTGCCCCCGGGACCGGCCTGACCTCTCATCCCCTCGCCTCCCCTCCCAGCCCCCGCCCCTGGAGCCAGGCCCTTCCTGCGAGCGCCCGGCGGCTCAGGACCCAGCTCCCCGCCCAGCCCCCCACGTGTCCCGCATATTTTCCACGCGGTTGCGGCTGGGCTGGTCACCGCGCGTTCCCCGCCCCCGCTCCCACCCGGACGGGTAACGAACCCCTCCGCTCCGCGGCCCCGGCTCGCCTGGCCCCACTCCCCTCCGCGCGCCCTCCCTCTCTTCCCCCGCTCCCCGCGGACGCTCCCCTCTTTCCCAGTGGGCCAACTTTATGCTGAAATTTCTTTTCTGCCCTTTTTTGGGATGTTTCCCCATTGGGAGGCGGAGTCGGGCTGGGGCGGGGAAGGCGAGGGGCGAGGCGAAGAGTCACTGAGCTGCGGGGCGTAGGGGGTCCGGGGCGAGGTGCCTTCTCCGACCCAGGCCGCCAAAGCAGTTCCGGAGCCGGGTCGTGGGGTGCGGGAGTCGGAGGTGCGGGGCGCAAGGGTGTTTGTTTTCGTTTTTCCCTGGGGTGGGGTGAGGGGAGAGGAAGTGGAGAGCCGCCCGGAGGAGGGGGAAGGGGAGGAGAGAACAAGCGGAGGAAGCCGGGAGGGAGCTGCTAGCCTCGCCCCTACCCTCCAGTCGTAGAGGGGCGGGAAGCCTGGATTTTGCAGTGGACTGGGGACCGTGGGAACCCGAGGCTGCGGGCCGGGGCGGTAGGGAGGAGGCGTGGAAATGCATTCAGATCTGTTTAGCTGCCTGCTAGCCACACGGAGAGCAACCCTGGCCTGACCTGGCAGTGTTCCTCTAACTCCATGGAAGACCCCTCATCCACCAGTAGCCTATGCTGGACCACTGGGTTTCCCCTGCCCTTCGCGTCTCACATCCCCCTAATCCTGGAGAGGCTGCTTCTACCAATGAGGTTCCTCCTCGGGTCGGTCTGGGCTGGCTTCTGGCCGCTCCTTATGCATTCTCCAGTCTAAGTGTTTTGTAGTTTTACTTCTGGTTCCTCCATTCATTCATTCATTTGACTGTCCCATGACCTTGTCAAATAACTTTTTAAAAGTTAATGCGAATATTATCTAAAATCCTCCAAACCCCTCCCTAATCCCTGTTCCCCCACCTTTTTTTGAGACGGGAGCTTGCTAGATTGCCCAGGCTGGTCTTGAATTTATGGGCTCAAGTGGTCCTCCCGACTCGGCCTCCTGAGTAGCTGGGATTACAGGCGTGCGGGCACCCTGCCTGTTTTGAGGAGAAAAAAAAGAATCCACATTTCTTAATATGGTATAGAAGCCCTGCTGTTTTGGCTCTTGCCTGCCTCTCCGGCCTCATCTCCTTCCATGCCCAACCTCACCCCCAGTATTCAGACTTGTACCTCATGCTGCATTCGTAATGAGCTACGTGCAGGAGCTGGAAATAGCCATACTTTTCTTAAAGCTTCCACAGTTTATGCATTCTGTTCCCTCTCCCTAAAATGCCCTTCCCCTTGGCTGATTCCTAGTGGCCTTTAAGACTCAGATCAAATGTCAGCTTTTCTGGGAAGCCTTCCCTGGCCACTACTCTTCCCACCGCCTCACCTAATAGGTGCGTGTACTTGGTGCGGGCTCTCACCCTCATCCTAGGCCCATGGTATAACTGTTCTCATACCGGTTTGGCGCCTCCGCCGGTCTGTGAGTCCTCAACAGAAACGATTGTTCTCAATTCTGAATCCCCAAGGCCTAGCACAGCACCAGGCATAGAGTTGGCACTTCATGAACATTTGCCAGATGAGTTTTTTATGTACCAGGTTCTGGGTACTTTTCAAATACACTAATATGGTGTGGGTCTTTTGGTCTTAGAACCCTTCACACTCTTAAAAATTATTGAAGACCCCCAAACAGCTTTTTTGTTGAAGTGGGTTATATCTACCAATAGTTGCCATATTAAAATGAAACTTGAGAAAACTTTTAAATATGTATCAATTCGTTAAAAATAACAAAAATAAACTCATTACACATTAACCATGTTAACATAATGTTCTAAATGAAAGATAACTATATTCTCATTCTCCGAATTAATGAGAGTATGGAAATTATTTTACATTTTTACAAATCTCTTTACTCTCCGGCTTCCAAGGGGACAGCTGGATTCTCAATATCTCCTTCATATTTGATCTGTTGCTTTATGTTGGTTACTGAGACATATGAAGAAAATCTGGTCTCACAACAGGTAAGCAATTGGAAAGATTTATTTATTTATTTATTTATTTAATTTATTTTGAGACAGAGTCTCGCTTGGTTGCCCAGGCTGGAGTGCAGTGGTGCGATCTTGGCTCACTGCAACCTCCGCCTCCCAGGTTCAAGCAATTCTCCTATCTCAGCCTCCTGAGTAGCTGGGACTACAGGCATGCACCACCATGCCTAACTAATTTTTGTATTTTTAGTAGAAACAGGCTTTCACCGTGTTGGCCAGGCTGGTCTCAAACTCCTGACCTCAAGTGATCCGTCTGACTTGGCCTCCCAAAGTGCTAGGATTACAGGCGTGAACCACCAAGCCTTGTCTATTTATTATTATGATTATTATTATTTGTTTTTTATTTTTTTGAGACAGTCTTGTGCTGTCACCCAGGCTGGAGTGCAGCGGGGCGATCTCAGCTCACTGCAACCTCTGCCTCCGAGATTCAAGTGATTCTCCTGCCTCAGCCTCCTGAGTAGCTGGGACTACAGGCATAAGCCACCGCACCCAGCTAACTGTTGTATTTTTTTGTTTGTTTGTTTTGTTTTTTTGAGACAGAGTCTCGCTCTGTCGCCCAGGCCGGAGTGCAGTGACACAATCTCGGCTTACTGCAACCTCCGCCTCCCAGGTTCACACCATTCTCCTGCCTCAGCCTCCCGAGTAACTGGGACTACAGCCATCAGCCACCATGCCCGGATAATTTTTTATATTTTTAGTAGAGATGGGGTTTCACTGTGTTAGCTAGGCTGGTCTCGAACTCCTGAACTCAAGTAATCTGCTTGCCTTGGCCTCCCAAAGTGCTGGGATTACAGGTGTGAGCCACCATGCCAGGCCTGGCCTATTTATGATTTTTTTGAGACAAGGTCTGGCTCTATCACCCAGGCTGTAGTGCAGTGACACAATCACGGCTTGGCTCACTGCAGCCTTGACCTTCTGGGCTCAAGTGTTCTCTCCGACTCAGTCTCCTCCAGTAGCTGGGACTACACATGTGCACCATCATGCCTGGCCTTTTATTTTATTGTATTTTTTTAAGTAGAGATGGTGTCCCACTATGTTGCCTAGGTTGGTCTCAAACTCCTAGGCTCAAGCTACCCTCCTGCCTCAGTCTCCCAAAGTGCTGGAATTACAGGCCTGAGCCACTGTGCCTGGCTGATAATTGGCAGTTTCTTAAGGGGCAGTTGCCATGTAGAACCTGAAACAATATCAATGACCTTTTTGTACTGTTAAACTAAAATCCATTGTTTTGGCCGAGTGCGGCAGCTCACGCCTGTAATCCCAGCACTGTGGGAGGCCGAGGTGGGTGGATCACCTGAGGTCAGGAGTTTGAGACCACCCTGGCCAACATGGTGAAACCCTGTCTCTACTAAACCTACAAAAATTAGTCGGGTGTGGTGGTGGCACACGCCTGTAATCCCAGCTACTCGGGAGGCTGAGGCAGGGGAATCACTTGAACCTGCGAGGTGAAGGTTGCAGTGAGCCGAGATTGCACCACTGCACTCCAGCCTGGGTGACAGAGCAAGACTCTGTCTCAAAAAAAAAAAAAAAATCCGTTTTCCTGAACTGCACCTTGATTGGATCTTTTACCCATGCATGATTTTGTAACATCGTGCATTGGTCATATGAAAAATAATTGATTCACTGAGCTATGCAAATCTTCCAAATATTAATGTTTCATTATTTAAAAATTCACAATAGGTTTCAGGCCAGGCGCAGTGGCTTATGCCTTTAATCCCAGCACTTTAGGAGGCCGAGGTGGGTGGATTGCCTGAGCTCAGGAGTTCGAGACCAGCCTGGGCAACATGGCAAAACCCTATCTCTACTAAAAATATAAAAAGTTAGCTGGGTGTCGTGGCGGGCGCCTGTAGTCCCAGCTACTCAGGAGGCTGAGGCAGGAGAATTGCTTGAACCCAGGAGGTGGAGGTTGCAGTGAGCTGAGATTGCACCACTGCATTCCAGCCTGGGCAACAGAGTAAGACTCTGTCTTAAATAAATAAATAAATAAATAAAAATAAAATAAAAAATCACAATAGGTTTCAACAGTAAAGTCTTTGTTTTTCTTCATAGTATTATACTGGAGAACAGTAAAGTCTTTAAGTTTTAAATTTTGGAAAGCTGTGAAGCTCATGTAGCAAATACAAGTATTCGAAAATTCTATTTTTCACTTGAAAGCCTGAACTGTATCATTGGCAACAAACACTGTCAGATTTTTCCCTGAAGTGACAGACTTACTTTGTTCCTTTTTATAAAAGTTCTGCCAGCTACCTAAGTCTGATAATCAGTTTGTCGGTCATTCTTTTGAGTAAACGTGGCATTCCACAAACAAGCAGCTAGTTCAGCTCGGAACTCAAAGAATGGTCTAAGTTATTTTCTCCTGAAAACCATCATACCTTGGTATGCAAAATGCCTTATGCATACTTCCCACTTTATCAGACAGAATGTTGAAAAGACTTTTCCTGCAGGATTAAGGTTTAATTAAATTAATACATTTAGGCTGGGCGTGGTGGCTCATGCCTGTTATCCCAGCACTTTGGGAGGCTGAGGCAGGCAGATCACGAGGTCAGGAGTTTAAGACCAGTCTGGCCAACATGGTGAAACCCCGTCTCTACTAAAAATACAAAAATTAGCTGGGCATGGTGGCATGTGCCTGTAATCCCAGCTTCTCAGGAGGCTGAGGCAGAATTTCTTGAATGGGGACCCAGGAGGTGGAGGTTGCAGTGAGCCGAGATCATGCCACTACACTCCAGCCTGGGCTACAGACCAAGACTCCGTCTCAAAAAAAAAAAAAAAAAAATTTTTTTTTACTTCATCAAGTACATTTTTTTTGAGTCTTTCTCTGTTGCCCAGGCTGGAGTGCAGTGGTGTGATCTCAGTTCACTGCAACTCTGTGTCCCATGTTCAAGCAATTCTGGTGCTTCAGCCTCCCGAGTAGCTGGGATTACATGTGTGCGCCACCATCCCCAGCTAAGGAAAATAATGTCTTGGTATTGTTATGAAAATAATTTTGACCTATGGACCCCTGAAAAGGTCTTAGGGAACCCTAGGGGTCTGAGGACCACATTTGAAGAGTTGCTGGTCTAATGGGTTTTAAAGCCTCTCCCCAGATGGCTCCCAAGGTATCACTAGTGAGAAGTATGTGATTGGTCCCAGTTCCTGAGGACATGACAAGGAAATGATAACAGGAGTAAGCAGTTGTCCTGGGCTCATAGCTGGAGTTCAGAGTCTGGACTACCACTTGTCGGGGAGGTTGTAGAAGAGATTTGATCTCCAAGGCCCTCAACTCATACTATGACATTGAATCTAGGATTAGGGAGCCCCTGCAGTATGTACTGGAGTTGCCAGTCCTCTGCGTCAGAGAAGTGATAATACATCTAAATTTTCCAGTGCTTAGCACAAGCATGGCTTAGTAAATATTAAATGAATGAATCACAGGTGATAGGAGTGACGGTAGGAAGTTGGCACCATCTCTAATGGGCTGTCCTAGAGTTTCATCTACTTTATTTCTTAGAGAAGGGCTCTCACTCCATCACCCAGGCCGGCGCACAGTGGCACCACCATAGCTCACTGCAGCCTTGAACTCCTGGTCTCAAGCAGTCCTCCTGCCTCAGCCTTTTAAGTAGCTGGGATTAGAGGCTCAAGCCACCGTACCAGCTACATTCCATCTACTTCAAGCTTTCCCTAATGTGGTGGGAGTAGAAGGTGTTAGTAGCAGATGGGTGGTGTTTGTGTTCTACTTGAGGAAATAATGTACTAGGCGGTAGTGTTGACTAAAGAATCATGCATGAAAATAGAGGCCAACCTGAGATGAC